GTATTCGCACACCATGTTATTTATCAGGTTTCGTGCCCCTCCCACCCCTCCAGGGAGGCCCCGCCTGAGCGAGCAGGGTATTCGCACACCATGTTATTTATCAGGTTTCGTGCCCCTCCCACCCCTCCAGGGAGGCCCCAGAGCGGGCAGGGTATTCGCACACCATATTATTTATCAGGTTTCGTGCCCCTCCCACCCCTCCAGGGAGGCCCCGCCTGAGCGAGCAGGGTATTCGCACACCATGTTATTTATCAGGTTTCGTGCCCCTCCCACCCCTCCAGGGAGGCCCCGCCTGAGCGGGCAGGGTATTCGCACACCATGTTATTTATCAGGTTCGTGCCCCTCCCACCCCTCCAGGGAGGCCCCGCCTGAGCGAGCAGGGTATTCGCACACCATGTTATTTATCAGGTTTCGTGCCCCTCCCACCCCTCCAGGGAGGACCCGCCTGAGCGAGCAGGGTATTCGCACACCATGTTATTTATCAGGTTTCGTGCCCCTCCCACCCCTCCAGGGAGGCCCCGCCTGAGCGAGCAGGGTATTCGCACACCATGTTATTTATCAGGTTTCGTGCCCCTCCCACCCCTCCAGGGAGGCCCCGCCTGAGCGAGCAGGGTATTCGCACACCATGTTATTTATCAGGTTTCGTGCCCCTCCCACCCCTCCAGGGAGGCCCCGCCTGAGCGAGCAGGGTATTCGCACACCATGTTATTTATCAGGTTTCGTGCCCCTCCCACCCCTCCAGGGAGGCCCCACCAGAGCGGGCAGGGTATTCGCACACCATATTATTTATCAGGTTTCGTGCCCCTCCACCCCTCCAGGGAGGCCCCACCAGAGCGGGCAGGGTATCCGCACACCATGTTATTTATCAGGTTTCGCGCCCCTCCCAACATTCCAGGGAGGCCCCGCCAGAGCGGGCAGGGTATTCGCACACCATATGATTTATCAGGTTTCATGCCCCTCCCACCCCTCCAGGGAGGCCCCACCAGAGCGGGCAGGGCATTCGCACACCATATTATTTATCAGGTTTCGTGCCCCTCCCGCCACTCCAGGGAGGCCCCGCCAGAGCGGGCAGGGTATTCGCACGCCATATTTTATTATTAGGTTTCGTGCCGTTCCCGCCCCTCCAGGGAGGCCCCACCAGAGCGGGCAGGGTATTCGCACACCATGTTATTTATCAGGTGTCGTGCCCCTCCCACCCCTCCAGGGAGGCCCCACCAGAGCGGGCAGGGTATCCGTACACCATATTATTTATCAGGTTTCGTGCCCCTCCCACCCCTCCAGGGAGGCCCCACCAGAGCGGGCAGGGTATCCGTACACCATGTTATTCATCAGGTTTCGTGCCCCTCCCACCCCTCCAGGGAGGCCCCACCAAAGCGCAGACAAGAAGCAATGGAACCCCGTAACATTTTTATGTGGGGAACTCCGTTAGCATAATTTTCCCCTCACCTTCTTTCCCCTCCTTTTCTTTCTGAAGCGGCGGCCCCAGCACCCGTGCAAGTTTGGGACGGGTGCTCATTGGAGTCGGGCGTGTGAGCACGTCCGAGTGCCTTCTCTCCCCCTCTTTTTCTTCCGCCTCCCTCTCCCTCTCTCGCTCCCTCCCTTGCTCTCTCCTCCTCCTCCTCCTCCTCCTCCTCCTCCTCCTCCTCCTCCTCCTCCTCCTTCCCCTCCCTCCTCCTCCTCCTCCTCCTCCTCCTCCTCCTCCTCCTCCTCCTCCCACCTCCTCCTCCACCTCCTCCTCCTCCTCCTCCTCTTGCTCCTCCTTCCTCCTCCCTCGCCCTCGTTTGTCCCTCCTCGCTCTCTCGCTCCCTCCCTCGCTCCATCCTTCCCCCCTCTTTCACGGCAAGCATCCGCAACAGCGCAGTGTACGATGATGGCAGCGGCATTGGTGGCCTGGGCGTGCAGCACTCCAGCGACCTCGAGAGAGCCCGTCCAGAAACTGAAGCCATCCCACTGCTCCTCCAATCATTCTCCACCCTCTTGACGTGCCGCGACACCCCGAGTGGCCCCAAAGCTCAAGCACCCGGGGGGGCTGCACCCCGAAAGGGAGAGAGAACTAACAACAGGAGATGGAAAGCAGGAGAAGAAGGGGACAGCAACTAGCACGCAAGGGGAGAAACGGGGGTGTAGTCCCCGAGGTTCCATGGGCCGCGGCGCCCT